ACAACTTTTAAAGAAACACTAACACCATGTTCTCAAACTATTACAAAAAATAAAGAGGAGGGAACCCTTCCTAACTCATTCTACAGGGCCAGTATCACTCTGATAAGAAAAGCAGACAAGGTGTAGAGAAAAACTATAGCCCAATATCCCTGATAAACACAGACGCAAAAATTCACCACTTTAATTGCTCCACTGGCAAACTGAATCTAAGAACACATCAAAAAGAGAATATACACGATCAACAGGGATGCAAGGATAATTCTATGTATGCAATGATAATAAGTGTGATATACACAGCAACAAAATGAACACACAAACCATATGATTATCTCAATAAGTGCAGAAAAAGCATTGATAAAATTCAACATCCTTCATCATTAAAAACTCTCAACAAACTAGGCACAGAAGTACATACCTCAACATAATAAAGCCCATATATGACAAACCCACAGCTAACGTCACACTGATGGAGAAAAGCTGAAACCCTTTACTGGAAGAACTGAACAAGGATGCCCACTCTCACCACTCTTAACGACATAGAACTAGAATCCCAGCCAGGGAAATTAGGTAACAGAAAGAAATAAAAGATATCCAAATCAGAAAAGAGGAGTAAAAATTTCCTCTGTTATCAGGTTTACAGAAAAAACTAAAGACTCCACCAAAAAACTAAAAGAACTGAAATATGAATTCAGTAAAGTTGCAAACACAAAAATATGCAAAAATCGTATAGCATTTCTATACACCAATAACAACCCACCTCAAAAGGAAATCAAGAAAATAATCTCATTTACAATAGCTACAAAAATATAAATTACATAAAAATAAATTTAACCAAGTGGTGAAATATCCCTACAAAAAACTAAAAACATCATGATGAAAGAAATTGAAGAGGACAAAGTAAAATGGAAAGGCACCTCATGCTCATGAATTGGAAGAATTAATATTGTTAAATGACCATACAGCTCAAAGCAAACTAAAAATTCAATGCAATCTCTATTAAAATACCAATGACATTCTTCACAGAATAAAAAGGACAATCCCGAATAACTAAAGCAATCCGAGCAAAAGAACAGAAGAGAGGGCATCTCACCACCTGACTTCAAAAATAGTAAATCCACATATTTACAGCCAACTCATTTTCAACAAAGCATCAAGAACATACACTGGGGAAAAGATACCACGTTACTAAATGGTGCTGGGAAAATTGGATATCCACATGCTGATGAATGAACTAGAGCCCCCTCTCTCTCACCATATACAAAAACAACTCAAAATGAGTTAAAAACATATGTAAATCTCAAAGCTATATAATGACTAGGAAAAATAACACAAGGAAATGCTTCCAGACATTTGTCTGGCAAAGACTTTACAGATAAGACTTTAAAAGCACAGACAGAAAACCAAAATAGGGCCATTCACCGCAGCCCGCAAGTCCGTGTATATTTTTATCTTGGGCTACTTCCTTCTCACCACAAAGTGGATAACCAGTTGTACCACCTGAAGCCTTCCCACTGGGAGGATTTCCCCTAACCACTGTCTTTAAGAGTTGGGTTATAGTGAAGCAACAATCCAGTTTTGCTTTGCAACAATGTACCAAGTCAACCCATTAACGAACCAAGCTCAATTTAAGTTTCCTTCTTTTATTACATCCTTATAGAGACCTCCCATGAGTCCACAGGTGGGAGCTAAAAGAGAGGCATTAATGAATACAATAGAGGGTGAGGTGGAGATCTATTCACTCAATTTATTTGTGCCCTCTGGACCTACACAGTCTCAGCATCAGATGCATTGCTGCTGGCACAACAACTGTATGACCTGGTGAATCTAACAGCACTTACTCGTGATGGGAAGCTTTGGTCACAAAGTCATTATCCAATGTATCACGATCAGATTCTCAGTCTCTGTTAAAACCGTTAACACACCCAAAGCCACTTTCTGAATGGCATACGGTTCTCGACTGAAGACAACAGGGCCCTGCTCCAGGAGCCCAGGGTTCTGCACTCAACTGTCCCACTGAGGCTGGCCTGAGACTGCACACAGCACCTGCTGCACCACAGGTACCTCTAATATCAAGGGGTCTTCGAATAGCCCAAGCAGCAGGGATGCTAGTACTGCAACCTGGACCTCATGTAGAGCTTTCTTATTCCAGACTCCCTTTGAGGGTAGCAGACTTCTCAATCATCCAATAAATGGATCAGAGTAGTATTTCAAAATGCAAATTGTGCTGCCTCCAAACCAAGAGGCCCAGCAAGTGTTGTGGCTCTTCCTTAGTGACAGAAGGCAGAAGGTGCGACTATTTGTCCTTTATTTTTGAAGGGATGTGGCAGCATGCCACTGACTACTAGACCCTGAAATCTTATGCATTGATGCCTGATTGGTCCCTGAATATTTATAGAGTTTCTCTCACACCCTCTGGGGCCACGCATTTTACGAGGGTATCCGGAATGCTTGCCATTTTTCATACAGTCTAATTAACTTCATGCAATTGTTACGGTCATCCAACATGATATGCTCTACAAAATGTCCAGATAATCCAGATCTCCCTCGGCTCTGTGGAGTAGCCCTTCCCCCATAGTCCTGGGCCCTGAGGTACTGGACAGTGGCAGCCTAGCCCACTCAGACCAAGCAGGTGGCTCCACTCTCTGAAACCAGGGAGAAAGCAGCTTAGGCCCCTGGGCCTGTGGCGGGCTGGCAGCCATGATGATCTCTGAATCGCCTTCAGGGCCATTCCCGTCTCCTGAAGGATAATGCATATTTGAAGCCAGATAGTTCTACTGTGCTGTTCTGTAGAATCCCAGAAGACCAACAGCCTTCCTTCATTCTGTCCCATTTTCTCTGTTCCCTTTAGTCCAGCTGGCAGCGTTTCTGCTAGTATAATCCCAACCCTATTCCTGGCATCAACTGAGATGGCTGATTAAATCACGAGTATTCTCTTTATGCTGTGATTATCCAGCTACACCTTTGGTGCTCTCTATAGAACATGCTTTCTCATTTTTTGAAATATGGGTAGGCTGAAAATTTCCCAAATCTTCAAGTTCTTATTCCTTTTTGCTTAACACTTCCTTCAACTCATCTCTCTCTTCTTGGATTTTATTATAAGCAGTCATGAGAAAACAGGCCACACCTTCAACACTTTGCTTAGAAATACCCTCTGCTAAATACCCAAGGTTGCCCCTCAGAAGTTCTACCTTCCACAAAACACTCAAATGCCATTCAGCCAAGTTCTTTGCCACTTTATACCAAAGATCTCCTTCCTTCCAGTGTCCAATAACATGTTTCTCATTTCCATCCTTGACTTCACTAGAAACACCTTTAATGTTCACATTTCTACCAACATTCTGTTCATAATGATATGCATATTCTCTAATACTATAGAAGCTTTCCTATAATTCTTCTCTTTTCTTTCTGAAACCCTAAAAGAATTGCCTTTAGCATTCATATTTCTAGCAACAGCCCCCTCGAGGCCATCTAGGCTTTTCTCTAACAGATACCTCAAAACTCTTCTAGCCACTACCTCTCCTCAACTCAGTTCCAAAGCTGTTTGTTAGAGAAGCACCCCACTTCATGGTACCAAAATCTGTATTAGTCTGCTCAGGCTGCCTAAACAAAATACCACAAACCAGGTGGCTTAAACAAACAAACAAAAAACATCATTTTCTCACAGGTCTGGAAGATAGAAATCCAAGATCAGGATGCAGCAGGGTTGATTTCTGGTGAGGTCTCTCTTTCTGGCTTGTAGATAGCTGCCTTCTTGCTGTATCCTCATATAACCTTTTCTCTCTGTACATACACCCCTAGTATCTCTTCTTCCTCTTTCAAGTACACCAGTCCTAATAGATTAGGACCCCACCCTTATGAGCTCATGTAATCCCAATTACCTCCTTAAGGCCCTATCTCCACATACAGCCACATTAAGGGTTAGGGCTTCAGCACATGAATTTTGAGGGAACACAATTCAGTGTATAACAGAGCTCTTAGAATCAAAACCAAAAAGCAAGATTCATAAAAAGAAAATCTGATAAACTGCAAGCCATCAAAATTGAAAATATTTGTGATTTAAAAATCACCACTGATGGCCAGGCGCGGTGGCTCACGCCTGTAATCCTAGCACTCTGGGAAGCCGAGGCAGGCAGATCTTTTTAGATCAGGAGTTTGAGTGACACCCTGCCTCTACTAAAGAAGCAAGAGTGAGACCCTGTCTCTACTAAAAAAAAATAGAAAGAAATCACTTGGACAGCTAAAAATATACAGAAAAAATTAGCCGGGCATGGTGGTACATGCCTGTAATCCCAGCTACTCAGGAGGCTGAGGCAGGAGGATTGCTTGAGCCCAGGAGTATGAGGTTGCTGTGAGCTAAGCTGAAGCCATGGCACACTAGCCCGGACAATGAAATGAGACTCTGTCTCAAAAAAAAAAAAACAAAAAACAAAAAAAAAAATCACCATTGAGAACATGAAAAGGCAAACCAGAAATTAGAAGATCATACTACAATCACATATGATCAAATTATAAATCATATATCTGATAAAAAAAATTTGTATCCAGAATGTATAATGAATTCATAGAACTCAAAAATAAAGAAATAAACAACTGAAGTTTAAAATAGATGAATGTTTTGAGTGGATAATTTTGTCTGAGTAGGTTGCAGGGTAGATACTCAGAAAGGAGGATTTAGGGGAAAAATATTTTCTTAGGCATTCTGAATAAAATTATTCTCTTCATGTTGATCTCCTAGATATCACTGAAATAAGCTACTTAATTCTTCTACATTATTTTCTATAAGTGAACTTTCAAAAATAATTCACCATAAGTAAATGAGAAATGTTAAAACAGAACATTCTGACTTATATATTTGCTTTTGCCATAAAAACCTTAAATTCCTTATCAGTAGAAATACTACTTTTATTCATACTAAAATGTGGTTGACATATTTCATAGGTATGTAATAAAAATAAGAAATTTCATATAACATTTAGATTATGAAAAAAATGTCTCTTTACGTTATCTCTTTCTGAAGTGTCGTTTATATTTGTTTGGATTTTCTCTGGAACTACATTTGTATAAATGTATTTTGAGAACCTGAAAAAATAAAAAGTTATTAACCCTAACTTAAATTGGACTCAATCTGTTCAGTTCCTTTCATAAGGTTTACCTATGCATATATGGGTGGCTCATCACTGTGTACTGTAAAAGCCTTGAAAACACTTACTTTGAAAAACATACAAGATAGTTATGAAAGACAATAAAATGAGTGGGAAAGAGGTATTCAACTTATACAAAATGTGCTATTCCTAAAGAAAACAGAAAATCCATACCAAAAATATCAAAGACATACTTCAGAAAATTTTCCTGATATACGAGATTTAAAATAATAGTCCCGAGTCAGACTGCGGAACCATTCCTTAATGCCTTCCTTCTGAGAAAATGAATGGAAAAAAAAAAAAAAAAACAATAGACTAGCTAGTACACTGTATTTCAGGAACAACTGATAATTACTATTAAATGGAGACTTACTCTACTAAAGTTATTGGGATTCTCAGATAAAGAATCCCACGGGAATATGAGATGAAAAGAAAACAAAACATGATGGATGTAATGGAGAAAAGCAGCCTGGCTTTAGATTTTTTACAATGGTATTCAATGTTAAAATACCAAAGAACAATGCCTAAAAAACTTCATGGAAACAAAGTGAAGACACTATAAATTTATATCCAGCAAAAGTGACATTCTAATATATGGCAAAGGGGAGATATTAAAATGACATTGGTATTTTAATGGGGATTTCATTGAATCAGAAGATCACTCTGGGTAACAGACATTTTAACAATGTTAATTCTGCAATCCATGAGCATGATATGTTTTTTCCATCTATTACATCCCTCTCCCATTTCCTTCTTCAGTGTTTTGGTAGTTCTCCCTGTAGAGGTCTTTCACTTCCTTAGTTAAATGTATTCCTAGTTAATTATTTACTTTGTTGCTATTGTGATGGGCATTTAGTCTTTGGTTATCAGCTTGACTATTGTTGGTGTTTATGAATGCTACTGATTTGTGTACATTGATTTTGTAACCAGAGACTTTGCTGAATTTGTTTATCAGTTCAAGGAGTCTCTTGGCGAATCTGTGGGGTTTTCTAGATATGACATGATATCCATCAGCAAAGAGTGAATAGTTTGACTTCTTCTGCCCATTTGGATACCCTTGATTTCCTTCTCTTATCTGATTGCTCTGACTAATACTTCCAGCAGCAGTCTGTTGAAATGTTGATATAGGGCAACCTTGTCTGGTTCCAGTTCTAAAAGAAAATGCTTTCAATTTTCCCCATTCAGTATGATGTTGGCTGTGGGTTTGTCAAGCATGGATTTTATCATTTTGAGGTAAGTCCCATCTATCTCTACTTTGTTAAGCAATCCTATCAAAAGAGAGAGCTGAATTTGTCAAATGCTTTTTCTGAATCTGTTGAGAGGATATGGTCTTTTTTTTTACTTTTTATTTATGTGATGAATTACATTTATAGACTTGTGTATGTTGAACCAAACTTGCATCACTAGGATGAAGCCCATTTGGGCATGATAGATTATTTTTTCA